CCTCTGACCCGGGCCCCCGGCCACGGGGCGGGGGCGGAGCCAGCGCCGACAGACCGCGGGACCCGCCGCCCAGGCCCGGGATCCACGAACCTAGGCGGACCCGGGCCCGTTATCTATCTCGGCGGTGCCCTTCGCACTGTAGCATCCCAGAAGAGAGGTGTTCTTTTTAATAACGCTTCGGTTTCCAAAGCACTTTCACAGCCCTCGTCTCTTGTCGCTCTCACAACCCTGGCAGCTAGGCATTATAATTTTTTCAGTAGAAACAAGTCCTGACGCTAGGTCTTCAACTGTGATGTTTTAACTAGCCATGTCTAGCACAAGTGCCTAGCCTGGGGCAGGTGGGAGGACCATCAAAAGGTCGAGGTCTAAATGGGTTTCAGATTCATTTCTGAAGAGTGTACACCCAGCAAGCCACTCCCCTGCCCCCAACCGCACAGTGCCCTTTCTGAAGGTGCAGCTTTACTTCCAAGTGTCCTGAGAGTTGTTTGGGTGCTGTGAGGTCCTTCAGCAGCACGTTGGCTTGTCCAGATGGGAACTGGCTCCCTGGCTGAGCAATGAACCAAGGAAATACACTATCGTTTGCCTGAAATAACCTGTGAGTGGAAGGGAAATTCCTTTAACCTCCTGCTCATTGAATTGAGAAATTAGTCTTATGACAATATATTCTATTGCAGTCAGAGACCTCTGCCCACTCTATGTCTGGAGATAGTTTAGTGAACCCTGAAGTAAACTATGAACTTTGGATGACTATAATGTGTCAACATAGGTTCATCAACTTTTTAAAACTTTATTTGGTTCTTTCATGGGCGGGGGACACCCTTGATAGGGTCTTACCACGCTGCAATCTTCCTCTTCCTCCTCCCCCTCCCTCCCCAGCCAACCAGGGTCACAATTCTGCCTGTGGATGGGCCTGGCATGTTCAGGTCAACCAGTGATCCAAACGTGTGGCCTCTTACATGCCTCCAGCACTGTGTGGTAGAACTCTGCTGTCTGCAGGTGGTATAGTACTTTTTAATGACGATATGTGTACATACACAAATGTGTAGTGTGAAAATGTTTGTACATGTGTATGTTGATGTGTATACAGGCACACATGTAGTGTGACGATGTGTATACATACATACACGTAGTATGAAGATGTGTATATATAAACAGAATGTGTGCATGCATATATGTCATTCCTATCTCACCTGGTGAACAGTCCTAGAAGCAATGACAGCCCAGTGGAAATGAGCCCAACTAAAGCACGTATCTTAGTTTTTGAACATCATTCTCTAACAAAAAGAAT